GGGGGCGGCGGGCAGGGCAGGCCCGGCCGTGAGGCCTGAGGGACCCCTGGCAGCGGCGGCCGGGGGCGCGGGGTGTGAAGCGGGGGGCGGCCGGTGGGGTGGGGTTGGGAAGGCCGCGCTCCCCCTCACCGGGCGGCGGCGGGAGAGAGGCCGGGCAGGTCGCAGTGTTTGGGTGCGGAGTTGCTCAATAGCGGAGGGTGCCCAGGCCGGCCCGGCCGCTGTCAGGGCTCCGGAGGGGCCGGACGGTCGTGGCCGCTCAGCCCCGCGGTGCAGCCCCTCAGGTACCCCGAGCTGAGGCGCGGCTGTGCCGAGGCCCAGATCAGGAACTCAAATGTGTCCGGTGCTCCCTTCCCCTCAGGGTGGAGTGTCACAAGGTGTTGGTGCTCAGGGCACGGCAGGCGCAGGTGTCCGTGGGGTGATTTCATCCTCGCCGTGACATTTCCTCTTTCGAGTTTCCTCGGCGTGTTTGTCAGGCTGCTGTTGTGTTGCTGAACGTTTTATTATTWATTATTATTGTGTTACTAATTTCTGAGCGATTATCCTGCCTCCCTTARTGAGCTGGCCCTGGCAAAGTCTKCCTTGATGTGAAATGATACTGWWAATTGRTACCACWTTGGGGATTTGRGTTTTTTTCTCAATTTATGAACAGGTTTGGGGTTGGGGGGACCCACCAGAGCAGCTGAGGGGGTCACTGAAGAGCTGGTTGCGTTCTGGGCTGCTCCTCAAGTATTTATGCCTTTACAAATGTCACACAGAATTTCCCTGTGGAGAACAGAAGCGTGAAGGAAACCTTGAAGATGACACAAAAGGCTGACATAAAGCARTTGAATGTGTGATCTGCAGTGTAACCCATTTTTTTTCAAGAGTACAGTGCACTGCAATTGTGATTGCACGTTATTTTTACATAATTATTTTCCAAGACAGCAGCCCATTAGTAAATAGTGGGTTCATGTAATGWTGATGACAACTGTTTACCTGTACCACTATCTTTAATCATGGAAGMAYAGAAAGGTTTGGGTTAGAAGKACCTTAAAGATMATCTAGTACAGTTTCAGATAATTTTTCACTTTATCATGCAGGTCTGTGGATTTTTGTTTGTTTGTTTTCATAAACATTGCAGCAACTGTTGTGATTGGAGATGTTGTCAGTTTGGTGGGTGGTTTTCTTTAAAAAAATGCCGTGAAGGGGCCTACAGCTTTGTGTAAATGAACTTTCTCTCTTATCAGCGTCAAGAAGACATCGAGAACCTGTGTAATTAATGATCCTGTGTTAATTATACTAAAAGTGGCTGTGTTTGCTGCAGGTGTGTGGCCAGGAACGATGGCGACAGAGTCCCCGCGCCGCCCCAGCCGCTGCACTGGAGGAGTGGTGGTTCGCCCCCAAGCTGCCACGTAAGACCCTTCTRGAAGAGCACTCCTTACTAAAAAGGGTTTGATTTTCTTGTAAAAGAGCCCATCCTGAGCTGGTTTCATTCTTTTTCCCCCCAAACCATCTTGTGTTGACACAGCAGTTTTGTTGTGTTGAGCGTTGTCCAATAAAACAAAGCCAGCGCATGTGGCGCTTCCATTTCCTGGGTGCAAACTGTCTCCCTAAATGGGATGCTTTGCATTTTTACACCAAATTTAAAAGCTGATTCTATGCCAAGTTTTGCTGCTGTTTGCACCATTTTGCTGTACAAACATTGCAGTGTGGATCAGTGATGCAAAATTCTTCCTTAGGCTGGAGGGATGTGCCACACGTGTTCCTTTCTTGCTGTTATTTTTAATAACACCTTGTCCCAGGAGTGGATATATTAAAACATACAAAACTTGTCATTAAAGTCCTTCAGGAAGGAGAATTGTAATTTTTATTTTTTATTTTTTTACTTAAAAGAGCAAGACCAGAGAAAAAGGAAGAAGCTCCATCCTTCTGGTCAGAGCACCTTACAGACAATTTTTGTCCTTAGGCATCCTGATTTTCATTGTGTTCACAAGGAAATACTTTCATGGCAGAAGAGCTCTTTGGCTGTAAAGCAGTCTAGAAAATTTATGGTCATTTCTCTGTCTGTCAAAGGAGTTGTGGAGCAATTTTTCTTCCTTGGGATTTTTATGCTGCTGCAAAATGGCACTGTATTGAAATGTCCACCTCAAGGGAGTATCASTGTGCCCTTAGAGATAACTCTGCATTTCCAACAACAATATTCACTTCATTTTTTCCTGGAGAGCACAAGAAACTGAGAGTTGTGGCACAAAAAGTTGTGCTGGAAGTTTGTCTTGTAGCAGCTTTTTTTTTTTTTTAATGTTGCAGAATCCCTCAACAGAGAAATATATTTTTCTTTGTAATGATGTTTTCTTCAAAATATGCTTTAAAAATACAATAGAAAAACACTGTAAGATGATGATAATCTGTTATTTTGGKTTTTTTTTTTWAATATGKTGTCTTTTGAGCTGTTTGTGCYTCAAAAACGTCACTCTCTTGGATGAATCTCTATGTGCTGAGCACTCAGCAGCTTTCTGCTGCTCATGTTAAGTATCTAGATTATTATTAAAGGTCTTTTTTGTTATTTTTGGTAGGTTATGTTGTTTTTCAGCACTTTAAAAACATCTCCCTGAAAGTTTTAAAACTTCAGGAGATATTCAGAGYRCACACACTGAATAAAACACCTCCAAAACATCRACTTTGATTCAAGATGTACTTGGGGAAAGAGGGGAGAGAAATGAATTCCCTGAGCTGAGCTGTGAAGGCAGCATGACTCTGGTTCATAGGCATTCCCAGGAGAGCTTCAGACTGTGTTTAACACTCTACCTGTGCCCAGGCATTTTAATAAAGGGCTCTGAAGGTGTGCAGGGGCAGCTTGGGTGACCTACATAAATCAGGGAAGAATYAGCACAGGACAAACCACAGCTCCTTTAAAATACCTCAGCCCAAAGCCTGACTGGATGCAGAAATTCTGGGATTGCTGAGCAAAGTCTGGTTTGGTCATGGACTGGAACAGCCTGTCTGGAATGTCAACTTTATATTTTAGGTCTTTGTTTTCAGAGAGGAGTTAGGCTGAGGCAACATTTGGGTTCAAGTGTCTTCTGTATAGTTGTGTGAGGTGCTAAATTCTCCAGAGTGCTTTGTTTTTCAGTGCTGAACACTCCTGTTTCTATTAAAACAATCTTATCCAGCTTCAGCCAGCACCTTTGGACATCCAGAGTTCCTAATTTACACTTCTCCTTTGTTGCTATTAGAAATCTTGAGTTAGCACAGGAAAAATTGCGACAGCATTAATTTCAGAGCTGCCAAAGCTGTTGCTTAAAGAGTGGTTGGTTTTTCTTAAATAGTCTCAGACTTTGTGAAGGTAGYTCTTGTTGCCAGCCTGTTCTCATGGCACAGAGCCCCAGCTTTTTACCATTTTTGCACCATCTGTGTGATGCTCTCAGCCCACTCTGTGGTTCCTCAGCAGTTACACAAGAGCCTCACCRCTCGTGCAGGGCTAAGCTCCTCAAAAATTTGTTTAAATCTACCCCAACAAATGTGTCTTGTGGTAGAAACTCCTCTCCATCAATGCTGCTGACGAAATTCCAGGAAGGAATAAGCTTCCCAAGCTAGAAAATCTTCTCTGGAAATACCTGTCCTTGCTATTCTGAGATGGGGTTTTGTTCCATCCCCTGCCACATACTCCAGCATTGTCCATAATGCCCTGGAAATTTGCTTGTCCCAGCAGCAGAGCTCCAGTTGGTGCTTAAATCCTCATTTTTGTTTTGCAAGGCCCTAATCGAGCAGAGAAATACTGAGGAATCATTTCCAAATCCCTGTACCACTTCAGGCCTCTCTGATGTGGAGAACCTGGCTTATTCCTTCAATTTAGATTTTATACTTTCCCCCTTAAGCAGTTATTCCATCAGCAGGTATCACTTAGCTTTTTTACAAACTTTTTTACTTTCACTTAGTACTTTCATTATTACCAGCCACTTTTTATATTATCAGAATTTGGCCCTAAAATTGCATACTGCATACTTAGTACTTTCCAATGTTCCGAAGATTGCCCATGTTTTCCTTTTGCTGATCTATCTAATTTAATAAATCCATGACCATTTCTGAACTCCAGTGTTTGAAATTCTCCTTCTGTTTTCCAGGGAGCAGTCATACATGGAAAGTGTTGTTACCTTCCTCCAAGATGTTGTGCCACAGGTAGGGTGTGGATCTTTAAAACTACTTTTTTCAATTCACAAAACAGTGTCAGAAACCTTTGYTCTGCTTTGTAAATTTGTTATTTAATCTCATAAATAGATTCATTATTTTAAATAGATGTATTTGTATATTTTAATATACTTACATGTAATAAATACGGCACTGGAATGGCCCCTTCCTGGTTGCTCTTGGGCCTCCCAGTAGCAGAAGGGAACCAATTTTGTTTTATTTTTTTGGGAAAGCTGTGGTCCATGCTGGAGGAGCACTGCAGYTGATCTCAGCTTCAGGAAATGATCTTGATTCTGATTCCAGGGATTATCTTGGTTACACAGTGTCTTATTTCCCCATGAATTTCCTCTTAGGAATTCCCAGTGCATTTGCTCCATAATAATAAAGAAACAATGCCCTCACTAATATCAATTTGTGAAATGCATTTGGGACTCAGGGTTAAAATTAAACACATTTAAAGTTTCAATTAAGAGATTGCTGCATTCCACACCCTCCCATCCCCCCCTCTCTGGTTGAAAGATACAGTCTGTGTTTTATTTTACAAATCAGTTTGCCTTGGGGGTGTGGAATGTGATTTGTTTCGAAAAGTAAACCCCACACTTATTTTTTAGGTTTGTATTTTTAGTTATTGCTTTTCTGGCACGTATGAAGTGATCATACAAGCTCTGTTCATATCCAACCCCAAAGACTGCTCAGTATTTTGTTATAATTCATTTGGAAGTGATGGTATTTCTGCTGCAGCTCACGTTCCTGCTACCACAGYTTCTCCTGAGAACTGTAAAACCTCCAGTTTGGAAATGCTACGAGCCTCACTCCACAATTTCTTTTTGTATCTCATCTTTTTATGGGAATCTGTAGAACACAGGGCTGAAACATGGAGCTGTTCTACTGCAGTTGCAGTTTGTTCTCTTTTAAATGGCTGCATTAAAGTTGTCACAAACAGAACTGGAAGGTGTCAGCAATATAAACTGWGTAGTAAAGGTCTCTTTCTTTCCTCAGTCTGGCCTGCAAAGCTTTCAAGTGAATTAAAGAGAWTTTTAATGATAAAACACCTCATGTGAGAACCTCCAACACCGCTGAAGTTAAAGATTGTAGAAGCCACTGGATTTAATTTTATTGACTCACTCTGAGTCACGTGGTATTTCTTACTTGCCCCAGCAGATTTATTGTTACAAATATTTTGTCATTCCTACATCCATGAGTGATACTCATTGTGGTTYTGTTGTAGGAATACTGGTGACAATAAGATCCATGAATCACATTTTTGGGGTTTAATTATATTCCCTCTTACAAGAGGAGAAAAAAAAAAAAACACTGTTAAATTTCTTTCTTTTAACCCTTTTGCTTTTTGTCCAGGCCTACAGTGGAACCCCACCAGAAGAAAAGGAGAAAATTGTCTGGGTCAGATTTGAAAATGCAGATTTGAATGGTATGGCTTCATTTCTCTCACTTGTTTTTGTGAGTTTTGGGTCCATGTGCAATAATTCCAGTCAGCTTTCTGTGTAAGCATTGCTAACTCCAAACTAAGTGTTAATTAAAATTAAATTCTAAGTGAATAACTTCACTTTTGGTCAGTATCTGCCAAAAAGAGCAAATAGACCTTGTGACTTCATCTAAAAGCAAGCAGGCTTAGGAAGAAATGCAAATTTAAAAAAATCCATTTATTTTCCTTAAGGTAGTTGAAAACAAAGTGCAGAACTGAATTTTATTTCATCTGCAGTTTTATTCCAAAGCCACATTATCTCACTGAGTCCAGTCCAGGTCCCAGGCACATTTTCAGTGCTGTGATAGAATTCACAGTAAGTTGGGAAGGAAGAGCAGTTGGGTAAGGTGAGCAGGAGGTTTCATGAGGTCTTTGAGGAAATATTTATGATTATTGTATCCTGGGGATTCTCTTTTGGTAAGATTGATGGACAGATTCATTCCACAGTACCCAGGAATAATTTTGCCCAGCCTTTTCATTTATCATTCCTCTATTTGTTAATGTTTATTAATATTTGTTTATCATCTTTATTAATGTTTAATGTTGATTTTGTTGGTCCTGGACAGACTTTTCTCTGTTTCCTGACTTCTAATAATGGCTTTGATATTGAAATCCCATTCAGATACCTCCAGGAACATGGAATTCCATGAAATCCACAGCACTGGGAATGAGCCCCCGTTGCTGCTGATGATTGGATACACTGATGGGATGCAAGTCTGGAGCATTCCTGTGAGTACAGAGCTCCCCTCCCTCCTTCCTTTTCCTTTTTTATCAGTGTTGTGTTATAACTTTAACATTTTCCCTTTATTTTCTCCTACTGGAATGGGAAGAGCAAACATTTCCCACTGAATTCATATGGTTTATGTGTAATGTATTTATCTCCAGATAATCCTAAGCATAACTCAAACACTTCAATTCATGTACCTGCAGGTTTTTGAGGGTTTTTTACACATTTTTCCTGCAAAGTACATTTTCTGACTCAAACTGGGACCAGTGTTTGCCATTCTGGAATAGTCTCCAGCCCAAAAATACAGATTTTTTTTTTCTTAACAGGAAGGAATAAAGGTGGAAAAACATGAACAGATTTTTTTTTGTCCCAGGAATTCAAGTATGACAGCATTAACAGTGTTTTGCAATCACATGTTTGTCATATGCATGGTTTGCAATTTTGATTTTATGGAGGCCTCTGTTGCACATGGGTTTGATTTTGTGCTGCCATCCCCTCCCTGGGCTGTGGTGCAGGGTGCTTTATGGGTACATGGTCCTCATTTGGGGAATTTCTCCCAAATTTCTTCAAATGAGAGAATAAACTTGAATACAGTAAGTCATAAAATTCTGAACTTAAAAAAGCAAAGTTGCTCACAACACCTTGTCCTCCTGAATGCAGCAGAGAGAAGGGAATTCTTTCCCTTTGTATAATACACTGTTTTTTTTAAGGAAATATGTATTATTACAAATTTTTGGTTAGCTATGTAGGACATGTATTTAGGTACCAGTAGCTTAGAAAATAATGTTGATTTCTGCAGTAAAATTTCAGTTAAATAGAGTTTTATGAGTGTGGTAGAGTTTTTTTTCCTCTTTATTGCATCTTACATCCTCTTGTTTGCTCCTCGGAGTGAGGAAACAAAAAAGCTGATGAGGTTTTGCCTTGGAAGGAATGTTTAATAGAAATGGAGGAAAACCTAATACGCTTCATGAAATTTAAATATTTTGTACCTGTTTATTAAAATTTAAGAATTTTAAATGAAGTTTAGGAATATTTTCTCTCGCGGTGCGTTACACAAAGCGCCCACACGGTGGCGCTGGGACACCGGGCTAAGAGCGGCCGCCGCYGCAGCAGCGCAACCTCATTAATTGGTTAATTAATTAATTAATTAAGATGCTCTGAGTATCACATCGACTCGAGCTAAGGAATCCTTACAAAACACCCTGTTTTATCTAGCAGAAATGTTCTTTTCTAAATAAAAAGAGGTGTGCTGTGTTGCCTTTGGTGGAATTTTTCCTTTCACTTTTTCTTTCTGTTTTCTTTCTTTTTTTTTTTCCCTCCTCCTTGTGTCTGAATGAGCCACAGTTTAGGCCAAATACTTGAGTTTACCTTCTTTTCAGTAGGACCATATAGCCAAGTTGTCTTTTTGTTTTTCCCCGATATATTCAACTGCTTCATAACTCCCAGATTTTGATAGTATTTACTATATCAGGAAAAACAACAAAAATGAAACTGCAGGGTGGTTTCTCTCAGTMAAATAGCAAAAATGGAATTTCAGGACGGTTTCTCTTAGTGTTAMTCAATTTTTGCAGAAGTGTGAGTCGAGAGGAAGTGCAGTGAAATGGAAAAAAAGCCAAAAATGCAATATTTTACCATCCACCTTAAGAATGGCAGCTGTGGAGTTATTGCACGACACTTTGTGCTGGAATGGATCCTCTCTTAGTGAGGTGACCTTGGAGATTTTCACAAAATGATGCTCTTTTACATCAGTTTTAAATAATTCCACCGAGCAGAGTTTGTGCATCCAACAGATTTGGAGGGAACATGAACTGGACGGGGTTTTTCACGTTGCTGTTTCTCCTTTGCATTTTTGCTCTCGCACAATAAAACCTGGCAGTTATGTGACTGACTTAATATTTAAGAGCTTATTTGGCAACACTTTTTAGTGTCCTTTTGCTCTTACCCAAACCTTTCTTCTTGGCCTTGCTGACTGTTTAGCTTGTAATTAAGCGACGTTATTCCAAGAAATAAAAAAACCCCAACAAACCCCAACCCCTTTGGTCGAATCAGAAAAAGCACCAATCTGTATATGTGCAAATCTGCTCAGGAAGGTTATTATCTGCAGCATTGTGCTTTTTTTTTTTTTTTTCCCTCACACAATTGGCTCTCTATTCAGCACTTAATAACGTGTTGCAGGCGGTGGGGTTTGTGTGTGAGTGATTATGAAGTGTTTATGACAGCTCCTAAGCTGACACTCTGGCCTAATGGTGTTCCAGCACCTCTGCAGCCCTTCCCGAGTGCTTTCACATCAACATCTCCTCCGAGGAGGATCTTGGGGYTGCTGGAGTGTGATGTTCAAATGGGAGATACCGACAGGGTGGCTTCAAAGGGTTGGGGAGGGTGTTGGGGGTGTTTGGGGTGCTGGGTGCTGCTCACTGAGGTGTCCATGCAAAGAGCTGAGCTTTGATCTCCGCTCTCCAATGGGGGTGGCGAGGTTAAAAGTGGGTTTAAAATGTGCCTGGTGAGTGGGGAGAAAGCTGGGAATACCGTTGGAGTTCCTGTTTGATAATGGGGCAGTGTTTTGTTTGGAATTTGTTTTCCCCTTGCTCCCAGTTTCAGGTTTCAGAGACGATTGGAGCTGCTTTGTGTCTGATGTGGTTTCCAAGTATCTGTTCTAGATGTTCCTGTCCAGGGAATGCACGTTGGCTGCTTTTGTTGATATTTTGGCAGATTTTTTTTTTATTTTATTGTAGGCTGCGAGTTTCAGAAGTAGAAAAATCAATTTAATGGTTTGTGTTGTAATTACRAAAGAAAMWTCACATCYCCAGCTGCAATCCTTCCTCCAGAARAAGAGGTGGTGCTTTCTTCCTCCAGATCTCCTTCTAGAGGGAGCCACTGTTAAATCTTGCATTAACCACTTGAAAAATGGAGTAATATCCTGACCTAGTGACCCTGAAAAAGTCTGAGGACTTTACAAAACATCTATGCAAGTTGTTTTCTAAGGCTTTGGGTTTTTTACATGGAGGATGCACCAGTGTGTGAGWGATTTTGGGGCTTTACACAACCTGTGTTTTCAAGAGCACTGCCATAATTAAAAATACTGGATGCAACTTCATCCTCAGTCCAGTCATGAGAGGAGATGTCTGTAAAGTTTTTGAGCATCTGAATCCTTACCATCTCGAGATAATTGCAGAGATCTGGGCTGAATAAAAAAGCAGATTGAATTTTTAAACTGAAGTGATAAAATTTGTCCCTTTGCTTCCAGTCCTTCCTTACTTTCTCAGCAGCACCATGACTGGAAGTGGTCATYAATCAATATTTGGTGGTGGTATCTATCAATTGCTTATTGTCATGTTATAACATTATATCATGGTATCTATATCATGTTCAAAAAAATCAGAATATTTAAAAACAACCTCCTGATCATTCCCTTGTCCTTTTACATTTTCCCCACTCTCCTTTACTAGAGTTGCCCAGTACCTCAAGCATTGAGTTCCAAACTCGATTTTGTTTCACTTTGCTGTATGTTTGCCTTTTTTTTTTTTCTTTTTAATAATTTTTTTCACCACGTGAAAACCATTTTCTCTGGTTGGAAACTATTAGTTATCCTTAGTGTGAATTTTTTTTTTTTTTTAATAATTTTTTTCACCACGTGAAAACCATTTTCTCTGGTTGGAAACTATTAGTTATCCTTAGTGTGAACAAAACTTCCTTTGTCCAGCTTTTTTTTTTTACGGGTGCAAACTGGTGTGCCCCAAACAATGCAGCTCTGTCGTCAAAAATCAACCAGCGCTGCAGATTCTGGCGCTGTCGCATTTTCAGCAGCAACTCAAGATGTTTTAAATGGAGGAGAGGATTCTTCTTCCTCTTTTAGCTGGAAGAGAGCAATGAAGAGTTTATTAGGAGCTGGGGTTTGGATGCTTTGCTTCCATGTAGGTCTGGGAGTTGTGGTTGATACCAGGTTTGGAGAAAGCTGAGATGTTCTACCAGAGCAGCTTGGAGCCGTCATTTTGAATTGGCTCTGCTGTCCAATGAGTACCTGAAGCTGCTTTTACAGCTTAATATCCAATTCTTGAAACCTGTTTGGAAACATTCTTGGCTTTTGGAATGGGAAAGAAAAACTTTTAAGAGCTCTGAGAGCTGCCACGGGGACTTGCTACTTAGCTGGATCCAGTCCAAAATGGCAGCCACAGCCTCGTTTCTCACAGGTGCTTTTTGAAGAATTTAGAGCTCTGTTTTCAATTCATGAGCTCTATTTTTATTTTGTCTGTGCATATGAGACTGTGGAGCTCCAGGGACTGGTTAGGGGATGTGGAGCCTTTTGCTGAGAGCTGCCAGCCCACATCTGACCCGAGTTCTCCCCTCAACGTGCAGTTCCTCATCCCACTTGAGTTCCTAGTGGGATAAGTGTCCCGTTCACAGGGAGGATTGTTTGGCTGAGGGCTGAGATAAGGGCTGAAGTGGCAGGAAGATCAGGCCACACCATCTCTGTCCTCTRCAGATGGTGCCTGCAGGCAGATTTGGATCTGTGCAGCTCAGCAATAAAACTTTATGTTGTCCATGGATGCACGAAGGGCATTAGCACTAACCACAGTTAATTCAGGGTTTTATAGGATTGTGAATGGCACAAGCTTCTGCTGCTGGTGTTTAAAAGAAGTCACTTGTGATTCCAAGGAAATCTTGAACTCAAAGCCCTGATGCATTTTTCAGTGCCAAGCAAACCGAGGAACAACCGAGCTCTCAGTAATTCATGGCATGAATTACAACAACAACATGCAGTGGCTTCTACGAGCTCCCTCTGTACAGAACAGCTGAGGACACACGACTGAAATCCCCTAAAAAAGCTGTTCCTTTATGGAGCTATGGAAGATTAAATATTCGTGTTTTAATGTGATCCATGTTGTGGTGTCACATCCAGTTTTTTTTATGAGCTTTATTTTGTGCCTGTTAGAGAATTTGAATTTTCTTTACCAGCGAGATGCTGGTGGTCGAGCAGCATTTCATATTTTCATTACAAAGTCTCCAGTGGGGCTGGATCTTAAAATTTGCTCCTTTTTAGCTCCCAGGAGTCAGAAACTGCTCAGCACTTGTGCTGTAGAGGCTGAACCCAAACCAGTCCATGATTTAGAATCCTGGAGGGGCTGAGCAAAGGACCTGTTAAACTCTGCAGTGGTCTTAAAACAGGGGCTAAATACCTGAWATCTCATCTTTGTCACTCTTGGATCCTGTGGCTTCTTACTCCACTTAACCTTTCCTTCTRTAATTTCCCCCCCAGTATAAAACAACAAATTATCTTTAAAATAACAAATATTAATTATTAAAAAGTTAGTGCATTATATGCATGAGAAGAGCTGGGCTGGGATTTCCATGTTAAGCGCTTCAGCACAAATAAACTCAATTTTATTTGGACATTTTAGAGGKTTTTTTTTGCAAGTTTCAGGTTTAAGCTCCACCAGGTGTTGGCATCTCAGGCTGAATAAACAAATTCTTGGAGTTCATGATGTCTAAGAGCAGAACCTGAGTTGAGAAGGTTTGCCCTTCTCAGAGTCTCTTCCCTTGGGGAGTGGAAGTTTGTTTGAAGCAGGTTGGAGCTGGGGCTGATGTKCTGGCAGAGTTAAAAAGGAGAAGGAGGTGTGGGAGCTGGGTTGGGATATTTTATGGGAATCGCCCCTTCCATACCTTTGTTGTGCTGGTTCCTTTCCCTCTTGTTTTCTCTCGTGCCCAGGGGTGTGCATACACACGTGTGAAACAGCATTTCCATGATTTGGGGGAAAAAATCTTTAATTGCCAGTAATAATAGTTCCCAAACCCTTCTGGTTTTATTCTATTCCATTTCCTCCTTTCCCTTTTCATAAAGCTGCTGTGTTCCAATSGACAGAAAACGTGCTGCTGTCTTCATTTTTTTAATCTCTTTATTACTCTGCCCCTCTTTAAYTTTCCTCATTTTCTGCTTAGCAGTGTTCTACATTTTCCCAAGCTGTTTTTTTCTGGATGTTTTCATCCAGAAGCTTTTTTTTTTTCTCCCACTCTGCACTCCAAGCTCATGATCAGTTAAAAGCCATCAACAAATCTTTCATGAGTTGATTTCTGATCATAGTAAAGAATCTGGTCAAGAAGCTGTTCCTAAGGGAGAATTAAACTTGTTTTGCAAAAGCTGGAGTACCACAGGGCTGTGTGTGCAGAGGGAGAAGGAGAATCTTGTGATTGGAACATCTTCCCAATAAATTAGGAGCAGGGTAGTCAGGCATTAATTCTCTTTTTGATTGCAGTTTAAAAAGTGTTGTGTCCATCAGAATAATTCTGATGGTGTCAGTAACAGTGATATTCAGTGATAAATTGCTGGGCTAAAATGGRGTTGAACTTATTTCCTCACTTTTGTGTATCTTGTGTGTAATTCTAGGCATAATAAGAAATCAGTAGTTCTCTATAATGGATGCAGAATGGTTGGTTAGCTGTGTAGTCAATGGTATTTTCAAATAATTTTATTTATAATTGTGTTCACGGGGTGGGTTTCATTCTCCCCACGACCTGGAGCAGTGATAATAAATAACCAGGCAAGACTGGATGTAAGCTGAGAGCCTGCACTGCTCTACTTGGGATTTGCTGGTCAAACAGTAGGAATATTTTAACTTGTTGGACGTGTGAGCTGAAGTGCAGAAAGAAATGGAAACAACCATAAAACAACATTTCCAAAAGTTCACTTGGATTTATAGTTTATTGATTGCTAAAAACCTCATTCCAAATCATGTTTCTCTGCTGATATTGCGAGCTGCKTGTTTGGCACAAGCTGATGCCAGCCTTGGCTGTGTTCTGGGGCTCATTACATCTGCTTTAGGTTGTTGGTTATTTGGAAATGAGCTCCATCATGTTTGCCATTTTCCTGGAGTTTGACGTTCCGTGTCGGATCCATTACCAGGCAGTTATGAAAATACTGTGGAGTGACCATTGCAGGAAATCTGGGAATTCATCTGAGCTGCTTCTGGTTTAATCTTTTCAACACTGCCATTAATGACAGGCTGAAGGAGTTTGCCCACCTATTTTTAAATGTGGCTTTCACACCTGGGGAAATTATCAAATTTATCAAAATTCTCTGGAGAATTTATCAAATTCTCCCAYCTTTTTCCACCCGTGTTTGCCATTCTTGATCTCCAGTGTGTTGGCATTTTTCTTTAGACCCATGTGAAAAGTGGGATAAATTTTGGGGAATTTTAGTCAGCTTCAACTCTTGCTTCTTCCAAAAMCATGTGTGGTCATGAATAGTTAATTTGAGACTTTTGAGATCTATTTTAATTTCAAGAAATGGCAGTGGTTGCTTAGCAGAATCTCACTAATGTACTCTCCTACAATGTCTTTCTACCTCTGTTATTACCTACTAAACGCTTGTATTTTTGAAAGTATATATTAAATATGTATTTATTCAATATGCTGATAATCTATTTTATATTTCTGTCTGTTTTTCCTGGTTGCAGATCAGTGGAGAGGCTCAGGAGCTGTTCTCAGTGCGCCCCGGGCCGGTGCGAGCGGCGCGGATCCTGCCAGCCCCCCAGATCAGTGAGTGCACAATTCCACATCATCATCATCACTCAGCACCATTCCTCAAAAAGCTGCTTTTCCACTCCACTAAAACTAATGAGACAACAAAATTTGTATTTTTGAGCTGCCACTGGCTTCTGATTTGTCTGTTTTCTTCTTATTTTATATTCACTTTACTCACTCTGACCTTTCAGTGGCTGAACTTTTATCATGCCTTGAGTGCAGCTCCTCTCTGCCACTGCTGAAATAGTATTTGATCAAATTCTAAACCAAGCTGCTTAATTTACCAGCTTGGAAAGAGGAAAAAAAGCATAAATGGAAACAAAAGAGAGGTAAATTAATTGAARAACCTGGGACTTCTGTTTTTGCTGTTATTAAAATARGTTTTTGATTTTTCAGTCAAGTAAATCACACTCATGAATTTCAAGCATCTTTCTGCCTCTAAATTCCATATTTTTAGCTTCTAAAAATGATAGTTGTTACATTAGAAAACTATTCCAATTAGCTCATATTAAATTAAACCAAACCTTTTAAAAACATGTTTTGGTCTCTTTTTACATAGCTTGCTTTAAATAAATCTTTGATTAAAMGTACATGAATGTATCATTGACCAGCATCTGGAATCAGATAAAAGCAAAGCTGTAATAAGAGGCCTTAGATAACTAACTCATGAGCTTTAATGATTCTGAACGAAATAAAAGGAATTTGTAAAGGAGAAGCTGATTACCATCAGCAGGCTCAAACACTGTTTTACTGTAAAGCTGYAAAAAGGGAATTATTGAAAATAGGAGTCTCTTGGTGGATGGATTTGGCACGTTCCTAGAGGCTGATCTTGGTGGCTGATAAGCAGCTCATTCCCAGGTGTGAAAGGAAAGCTCATGGCTTTAACTTGGTGACTTTACAGCAGCAGAACTTAATAGTTTGTCAACTATTTTGTTAAAAACCTGCAGTCCTTTGATGTTGGATCCTCTGCCTCGTGGTGTGCTCGGTGCCATAATGCAGCCTTGTTTCAGAGGGTGCATGAAAAGGAATAAAAAATGGGGAATTGTTGCACTGATTGGCYTCAGAAAGCATCAATATTCTGATTTTACAGGTAAAAGAACAGCAGGATAGCTGAAATRAATGTATCTGACATGCACTGACACTAAAAATCCAGTGTCCTCCAGCAGGTCCTGGCAGCTCTGCAGTGTCACTTTGATGTCCTGGTGCCCATGGCAGGACTACTGTGCCCTAAAACCTCCAGGGATTTCTGTAAATGGTGCTGAACCCCCCAGATTGCAGCTCCCACCTAGCACTGCCCTCAGTGCACAGGGCTTTCATTACCTGCTACAATTTACAATGAAATGGCATTTTTGGAGATTGAAGGTTTGCACTGGGACCACATTTTGGGCTGGCAGAGCTGAGATTTCCACCAGGAGAACATCTCAGTCTTAGGGACAGGAATTCTGAGCTGTGCCAGCTGCTGAGCCATCCTTGGCTCTTCTCCATCCCAAATTTGGGTTCTGGSCTGGGTTTGGTGTTGTTCCCATGTGCCCAGGTGTGCCTGGGGCTGGATTTTTTATTTCAGCTATCCTGCTGTTTTTTTACCTATAAAATCAGAATATTGATGMTTTYTGAAGCCAATCARKGCTACAATTCCCCATTTTTTATTCCTTCTCCCAARTAATTTTACAACCCCCTGGCCAAATATCTGCTTTGCCTTGTGCTGTCCCATTTATTAACCTAAAGCTGCATAGTTTAAAAATCAATCAGAAAACTCAGAAAGCCAGAGGAGCAGCTCTGTGTGTGGCAATTCCTGCTGGGAGGGACACRGTGACAGTTTAGATCAGTAAAACCTATTTCCATGTCACAGCATTATGAAAATAAATTCCTCCAGCCAGCTGAATTAATTTGTTGCCATTTTCTAGATTATGCTGCTTGCAGAAAGATGGTATAATAACCCTACATCACAGTGAATTTGACTGGTTGCTCAAATTGACTTATAAAGGGAAAAAAAGGAAATCAAAAAAGGAAATAAAAAGAATTTCGAGGTATTAAAACCCRTCGAGAGTTGAAATACTGCAGCAGATTTATCCCTGTTCTCCACTGCTCCCATCTCTGTGTTGGTAAAATTCAGATTTGAACCTCAAAAGCTGACTCAGGTTTCTGTGCAGGTACACTTAAATAACTCGAATATTTCGGTTGCTTCCCAAAAGAAGGCAGATGTGAGGTTTGTGGATGCTCAGCCACTTGGGTGGTTCTGTGGTTTTAAATYCCCAAAATGATCACAGGGGTGATTATTTTGTGTGGTTGGGGACTGACCTTGCAGCTGGACACATTTGGGATGGTGGAGGAGAGCTGTGCAGGTGTGTTTTGGGGTTGTGGTGTTGTCCCACTCTTCTGTGGGGTTTTGGGGATAATGAACGGTGATGTTTGTGGAGCAGACTGGAATTCTGCAAGTGAGGCTTTGGGGGATATTACAGGGGAGGATTTGGAGTGTGACACTGTAAAATATTGATTTCTTTGGAGCTTTGGCCTGACCTGTGTTCCATCCTCACATCACATCASTGCCCCTGGAGCTTYCCCSAGWWGGGCTGAGAGGGAATTCCAGCCTGRGGCATTCCAGGGTTCTGCTTGGCTGCTGCACTGACAAATGCAGMGAGATTTCCAAGGAAAAGATGGAAATGAGAGGGGTTTAATGGGGCAGGAGCTGCTCTGCAATATGGAATGGCTGGGATGGGACTGCTCAGTGGAATTACACASCAGGAAAATCCACTGCTAAATAGGTCAGAGTGTGAAATTCATCCAGAGCCTTTCTCCCTCATGGGAAACCGGGGTGGCTTCCATAGTTCTGAGCAGTTCTTTTGGGTTCCTGGGGCATTCCCTGGCATTCATTTTAATTCTGCACCAAGTTAAAATGTCCATTTGAAGTTTTGTTGTCGTTACTCTTTCATTATTGGCATTTTTGGGAGGCCCCAGTGGGCCCCGAGGTCTCTGTTCACGGTTTCATCAGCAGGACAGCTCTAAGCTGCTTTGAGCTTACGTGTGGATAACCTTTTGACTTCCTAAAGTTCCAAATGTTGATTTGGATGAAATTTCATTTAGCCACAGATAGATTTTTCTCTTTTTTTTTTTTTTTTCAATTTTAAGCACACTAACTGAAGTTAGGTTTTTTTAAAAAACCAAATGTATCATTTAGCTAAATGGAGCTGTAGATAAGGTGGTGCCTTGTTGGCAGCAAGGGCAGTTTTCATTACTTTAATTGTGTGATTTGTCAGGATTTCCAGCATTTTATAAATGCTGTAGTGTTATATGACAGAATTAAAAGGATTTAGAATAAAAGGAGTTTAAGAAAAAGACTTTGCAACAGGATTTCAATACTTTTTGTATTTGGGGGGATTTAGAGAGCTGTTTTTCATTTCAATTTTGTTAAACACTGTGTGTGCAGCAGGTGTGCTCAACGTCAGCGCCTCGCACATGCAAATAAACACAATTTTACAAATGAAAATTAATCCAGCAGAACTTGGGAGATTAAATCCCACCCTAGAGCTGGGAGAGAGGTTCCTGCCTCCATTAGAGCGTGGCAGAGCCCGACACATGGCACTGTGCAATCTCATGAATGGGACAGCTATTAACCTGATTTAATGCCCTCAGAGGCCTCCCAGTAATGATCCTTTCCTGCACTATTAATATTTACATTCTGAAAGTATTGGAGTGAAAAATGGATTTATTTTAAAATTGAGGGACTCGGTTATTAAAGAGAGAAATCAGAAGTTTAAGCACCAATTGCAGAAATTTTGCAAATCTGTGCTGTGGGTATTCAAACTGGCATTCCTTTGGATTTTGGGTACTGCCCTCSACCTTTCTCCYTCTTTYCCCCTTTTCTTTGTGGTTAAACTGAGAACTAGACCATAAAACAACATCTAAATTTTTGAAAAAAAGAAGAAAAAAATTAAAGACTTCAGGTGAAATCCTGGCTGCACTTAACTCAGTGTCAGAACTGCTGGCAGTCTGCACTCCACCCTCAATTCTGGGAGCAGAACAAATGCAATTCATCTGGACTCAAGGAAACAAATTGGTTGCCAGCCTSTTAAGAAGACTTTATGTTTCATTTATCAATTTACAGGTCAGGACATACAGTACAGGTTTGACTCACCAAAGAGCTTGGGATAATAGGAATAAAAGGAAAATACATTTGGCTGGTTTGGGTTACTCCTAAAGCTATTGTTGATGGTGGAGTTATTGATGTGACCCGTTTGACTTTATAAATACCCCAAGATGTAGGAGGGAAGAYTTAGCCTTGTGCAGATGAGAGGGCTGAGCAGTGTTTGTTACAAATTAAATGCATGTACCTGAGTTATTAATAATTAACAGAGCCTGCTCTGTCAAAATGTATATTGTTAATTGTTGTGCCTTTCGGAATAAATGATTTAGTGCTGTACAACTGTATTTGAGAATTAAGGCTATAGCACTGATATTCTTTAGAGATCAAAGGGGTTGGTGTATCATGGAAAAAAATAAAATTCCATTATTCACCATGCACGTGCAGACCTATGGATAGATAATTAAAAAGGCAAAGGTTGAAAGAAAATGGAGGAAACCTCATAGTGGTGGTGTTGGTTGTTCCTCTGTTATTTAAGCTGGGCAGAAACATTTCCTGGAATTCATTTAAACATTGCTCACAAGCAGAAGGGAGATTTTTTTTTTCTTTCTAAATTCAATTTTAGTTTTATTTCTGTTTATACAGCAGTAAAGCAAAGTTCTCCAAACTCTTAAAATCTAATTTGAAGAAGTGTGGCGTGTTTAATGGTCTGCCCATGCTGGGGCAAAGGTGTGACTGAGCCTGGGGGGACCACGGGGCTGGTTCCAGTGCCAGGGCTGGTTCATTTTTAGGGCTGGGTTCCATTTCTAGGGCTGGGTTCCATTTCCAGGG